ATCGTAAGAGTAATGGACACACATATACACCCGCATGATGCTGGTCACACTAGTAAACAACTAGAATTAGTTGCCAATATTATTTTTTGAGGCATGTGAATAATTACCTGGTTACCCTTCCCCTCTGTAGCCATGACATTTGAATGGAAGGTACATGCCTGCTGTGTCAAAAACCACAAGAAAGTGTTATTTATTACAAATTAGTGAACAACAGTGAACCCTCCCCTCTGGGGCACCGTATCTTTCTTCACAGAGCAATGAAGGTCAGGGTGTGGGGAAGAAAGGCAAAACTCTCACAATGAAGAGAAGTTTTACACCTAAAAAGTCCACAAGAAGAAAAATTTTCACTTCTTCCCACTCCATCGTTCAATCTTTAGTATCAACATTTTAAGTCATTTCTATTGAGTACTATGTATCTGGGCTTAGCTGAGGTATAAACAAATCAGGAAGACCAAAGTTCCCAATCACTAGAATTTTAATACATGTTTGCTCTTGTCTCATTTCTGGAGATTCCTGCTTTTGCCTTGGGCCTTACTAGGGGAAATGCCAAAGCTAAGTAAGTTCTACAAATCAACACAAAGATGGCACTTGTCAGCCCTCAGGGCCCTTTATGTAACCCTGGAAACCACGTGTGATACCTGTAATATAATGGCAGCGTTACCAGCTTCTTTCAGAAGTCTGAAGGAAAAGCAAAGCAATACTAAGGAATGCCACCCCCCAAAACAAAAACACCCCATTTCTTGAGTATATGCCTACATTTCAGGATACAGAGTCCTTGAAACTCATTTCATCAAATATTTACTCTGCAGAGAACACTGCGTAGGTATCTAAGTCCAAAATATAGTTTCTATTCTGAGGATTTTATCGTCTGAGAGGCAGGAGACTATATAGTCTATAAAACTATGTCATTACTAAGAATAAAACTTTGAGCAAAACAAAGGACATGGAATCTGTAAAGTATAAAGGCTCTCATGAAATCTACACTATCATTTGCTGTTAGCCCCACAATTCATTTATTATAAATGTATATGACATAACACGAGGGGTGAAGGACAGCTTCTACCAACCCTGCCCTTCAGCTATGCAACGAGGAGGCTGCAGGACAGGCGCCTGTTTGACAGCGTTCATAAATACAGATGAGTAGACAGAGAAGGAAAAGAGGCTCTTAAAAGAAGGAGCCAGTGGGCCCCTATCCAATTTATAATTAAAAGGGAGGAAAGCAGCTCTCCCTTGGGAGCTCAGAATTTAAAGTCAGTACCCGGACCTAGGGCCACTGCCCAGAGACAACAGGTACATATGTGCCTCACGGTTGCTAAGGAGTTTAGTGTCAGAATCACAGACCTGGAATCTCAGAGCTGGAAGGGGCCGAGCCCATCCAGACAGCCCTTGCTGTTGGGATGGGGAGGCCGAGGCTCAGCGAGATGAAGTTGCTCAGCAAAAGTCGGGGCTAGAGACCTGCTGCCTATCCTGGAAACAGCCCACAGGGGCCAGACAGGTCACCGGGTATTAGCCAGCGTAACTGTCTCTCAGCCCTCAGATGCTTGGTCTGCATCCCATTTTGTGCTTTCACTTGTCAGCCGTGTGCGGTGCAGCGAAAATGGCACCCAAGCTGTCCGTGTAGCTCTGTAGACCCTTCATTCTTTGAAGGCTACAAGCGTGTCCCTGTGTTCACAGCTGGGCTCTGTGTACTCCAGAAGAAACACAATGACGGTGATGGCTTAGAAATGCCGCTTCCTGTCAGTCTAGGTTCACTAGTGAATATTCATTATATTATTCTTTCAACTTTTCTGCCAGTTTAAAATTAGAAAAAAGTTAGGAAAAAGTTGGACTGAGGGCAGGTAGTATCTAGTCTACCATATCAGATACTAAAATGCAGTGTGAAATTATAACATTAAAACAGTATTAAGGGCCGGGCGCGGTGGCTCATGCTTGTAATCCTAGCACTCTGGGAGGCAGAGGCGGGCGGATTGCTCAAGGTCAGGAGTTCAAAACCAGCCTGAGCAAGAGCGAGACCCCGTCTCTACTATAAAATAGAAATTAATTGGCCAACTAATATATATATATATATATATATAATTAGCCGGGCATGGTGGTGTATGTCTGTAGCCCCAGCAACTCGGGAGGCTGAGGCAGGAGGATTGCTTGAGCCCAGGAGTTTGAGGTTGCTGTGAGCTAGGCTGACGCCACGGCACTCACTCTAGCCTAGGCAAGAAAGCGAGACTCTGTCTCAAAAAAAAAAAAAAAACAAAAAAAAACAGTATTAAGCAACATAATGAGACCCTGTCTCTACCAAAAATTAAAAAATTAGCTGGGCGTGGACAGACACCTGTAGTCCCAGCTACTCAGGAGGCTGAGGCAGGAGAATCACCTGAGCCTTGGAGTTTGGAGCTACAAGTGAGCTGTGATCACACCACTGCATCCCTGCCTGGGCAACAGAGCAAGACCCTATCTCAAGAAAAAAACAAAACAAAATAAAACCATGAAACAGTATGGAAAGAAACATCAGTGGATTAGAATATAGTCTAGAACTAGATCCTCAATTATATGGAAACTTGATACACGATAAAAGGGGTATTGCAAATCATTGGAGGGAAGATGCATTACTCAATAAATGTTGCCACCTGCCCCACCTCCCACAACATTTCCTAGAACAATCCTAGCTATTAGTATTAAATGCTTAATAGGTTTCTAAGTTACAGAATGTATTTCTTGATTTACACCCTCTAATGAATTGCTCTAGAAATAGTTTAAGGCCCCAGTAAAACCCTGATCATCAGAGGCATTATCAGGACGACCTTCCACTGGCCAGGTCCAGCAAAGGCTCAAAAACAGCTGCCCAGGCCGGGCACGGTGGCTCACGCCTGTAATCCTAGCACTCTGGGAGGCTGAGGCGGGCTGATTGCTCGAGGTCAGGAGTTCAAAACCAGCCTGAGCAAGAGCGAGACCCCGTCTCTACTATAAAATAGAAATTAATTGGCCAACTAATATATATATAGAAAAAATTAGCTGGGCATGGTGGCGCATGCCTGTAGTCCCAGCCACTCGGGAGGCTGAGGCAGGAGGATTGCTTGAGCCCAGGAGTTTGAGGTTGCTGTGAGCTACGCTGACGCCATGGCACTCACACTAGCCTGGGTAACAAAGCGAGACTCTGTCTCAAAAAAAAAAAAGAACAGCTGCCCACCACCTTTATCTCCTGGGGCTGGATGTCTCTAGTCCACCTTCTAATGGGGAAATAAAGAGAGGAGTTTGAGGATGCAAATCTACAGGCTGCCCTTTGAAAAGGCAGATGCTTCCTTGGGCCTTTTCTCTTGGCTCTGTTTTCAAATTTGTCTTTCCAGCTCTGCGGAAATGAACAATCTGGGGTTTTTTGGGTTTTTTTTTGGTCATTAGAAAATACTAAAAGCTACTAATTTTTTCCTATGTCTGAATTTTTAAAAACTTCTTCTGCATGTAGCCTGAATGTTCATGCTGCTCTGTTACCCAGTTGTTTAATATTTTGCATTTTATTCTGGTTCCTAAGAAACTTACACGATAGTATCTGATTAAAATCCAAAGATTAGAATCAGATAAAATGTAGCTGAGATATGCTAAATTACGCAGGATCAATTACTCTTACAAATCTACTGAAGGCTGGTTTTTGTTTGAGACAGAGTCTTGTTCTGTCACCCTGGGCTAGAGTGCCATGGTGGCATCATCATACTAATAGCTCACTGCAACCTCAAATCCCTGGGCTCAAGCCATCTTCTGGCCTCAGCCTCCCAAGTAGCTGGGGCTACAGGTGTGTGTCACCACACTTGGCTAATTTTTCTGCTTTTTTGTAGAGATGGGGTCTCGCTCTTACTCATGCTGGTCTCAAACTCCTGGCCTCAGGTAATCCTCCCGCTTTGGCCTCCCAGAGTGCTAGGATTACAGGTATGAGCCACCGCACCTGGCCTGAAGGCTGTTTGTGACATCTAAAAACAGGGTTGAGGTTTGGAGGAATACAGGGAACAGGCTGGAGGCCTGTGTGGGTTCCCAGCCCCGGTGGTGACTTCCTCAAACCCCAGCTCTCAATCCACCCGCCTGGGTCTGTGCCCTACAGTCCATTTCTAGCTTCTTTAGTCCTTTCTCCCATGAGAACATCTATGATGTACAAAGTACGACACTAAGCACTTTGTTGTTACTCCAATCGCTTCATTTCCTAAACTCCCACAGAAATTCAGCAGCATTTTGAGTTGTTTCTCTTTAGCAATGAAGGTAAAGGCCGTACAGCCATTGTTGTATCTCTGGCCAATGTCTGGTATTGGGCTCAGTAAACGTCTGCTGAGTGAGTGATCTCTCTGGTCCGCTGTCAAAAAGCCTTGATGTCCAACATGTTCACTAGGCTAGAAAAAACAAATGCTGGTTAAAACCTTGTTACGAAAATTGGAGGCCTGCCATTTTGATGTAATAAAAAGACACCTAAACTATGTCTGCATCAAGGACACCAGTTATCAGTGGAGGTGAACCTGCTGAGCGTGTAGAAAGGGAGACTTCGGTCTCTGATGACAACATGCAAGGGACACTCACCTGGCAGACAACGAGAAACCCATGTCTCATCGGGGCAGGCCCCAAATGATGTCTTGCTGTGACGGAAACGGTCAGGATAAGAACAGGAATGACACACAGACCTAGATCAAATGAATTTTTATGTCTGCAACTCATAACCCACAGAGCACATTGGGCAAACTGTCACCAGGGCATCGAGAACACAGAGCTGCCTCACATTACTCTCTCCTCCCCAAGTCTATGCTCCAGCAGCTAAATTATATACACTCTCAATTGAAAAAAATCTAAACAAAATAAAAACAATTCTCAATGCAGAGTTCTTTAAAGAATTCCTAATAATTCAAATGTTCCAACTTCGGTCATCCCCGAGACTTAGCTTGGATATTTTGCACAGGGGAGACTGCACCGGGGAAAGAGCAGGCCAAAGGCGGGTCTTGCGCCAGCCGGGCCACCTGCCGCCCTCGTCAGGGACCTTCTAGCCCTGGGCATGCGGCAAGACTTCGGCTCTCCCTGTCCGTGGGGTGTGGGTGTCCCGGGCTCTGCAGGGCAGCCGGCGGGGGGAGGTGGCCGCTCACAGCTTGAGCTCCCGGTCGGGCTTCATGCTGAAGGGCTCGAGCCGCTCGCCCTCGGGCAGCGTGCTGTTGAGCCTCTCCATGAGCGGCACGGTCTGGTCGATGCCCATCTGGATGCGCCGCAGGATGGCCGACATCTCGTTCACCTTCTGCACCTGCTCCGCGTACTTGGCGTACCTTTTCTGGCGCTCCTGCATGAAGCTGAAGAGGGTTTCTACAGACAGGTCCATCTGTGGACGGGAAAAAGAAGCAAAATACATGAAACTTTGTCTACTCTACCCCTCTGAACAGGTGGGGCGCCCAGCACGTGAGGGACAGAGTCCCACGGGACATGCAGAAGCTGACAAGTTTTACTGGACGTATAGGGGCGATCAAAGGCCCTTCACAGACGCAGCTACAGCAACCGCGGCACCAGAACCTTCTTTAGGAGGGGACGAAGAGAGGACTGTCCCAGCCTCTAGGCTTCGGGAATGTGAGCTATTTATAGCTTTTGCAACCCTGAGATTTCCATCTCTGTCTCTACACACGAAGAATCCTGGGCATGGAGGCCAGACAGGCCAGGGTTTGCATGTGGCTCTGCCCCATGATGTCGAATGCTCAGCCTGCGAATCTTAGCGTCCTCATCTGCAAAAAACCGGAAACCGATGCCAGAGTTGCATGGTCGTGCGGGGGACGGAGCGAGCCAGCACGCGGGCACACGCGGACCCAGGGCTGCCACGTGCAGAGGCGCTCCCAGACGGCCTCTGCATCCCCCGTCTCTTCCCCGAGGGGCTGCAGCTTAGCGGTGGGCGGGTGTAGTGGGACAGGGGAGGCTGGGGGGGGGAGGGATACGGCATGGAAAGGGGGAGGGGGCACTGCAGGGGGAGGGGGAGGGGTGGCTCTCCCTGCCAGGGCCAAAAAACACCAGGCAAGCTCGTCCACACAGTGGTGTGTCCCACTGCGGGTCAAACTGTGCCGACTGCCTCGTGGGCCCTCTCCCCCATTAAGCAAACTGCAGGCTCCAGCCTCCCCTTCTGTGACCTCTGCTCTTTCCCAGATAAAGTTCTTCAGAACCTGTCGCCTGGATAAAATAGGGCGAAGGAAGCTTCGTCCTGTGGGACACCTGTAGCCCATCCTCCGCACAGACCGCAGGGCCGCCCGTGTTTCCTTCCCAGACAGGGAAGCAACAGTTCCCCACCAGGACTCACATTTCTGCCCCAGATTCCCAAGGCCCCTTCCTGACCCCAGCGTCAGGCCTAAGGCTCAGTACTGTTACTGCAGAGCCTCTTGGAACTGGTTTTGATAAAAACAAAAGCACAGGAGACCAAAGCCAGCCCCAAGAAAAAATGATGAGTCTGTTTTGATATTGTGGCAGGGAGGGGACAAGAAGAAGGGGAGACCACAGGACGACATTAGAGCCACATTAGTGCACTTGGTCCTTGGCTGGCTCCTCCCTCCCTTGTTTGAAAGGCCCAGGGGATAAAAGCAGCAGCTGGTGGGAAGGGGGCACAGGGAGAGGAAAAGCCTATCTGAATGGGAAACTCCAAATAATGCAGAGACAACATGCACCTGTGGGGGTTCTTGCAGCCCTGCTCAGTCTACAGTCCCTCGGAGGTGGCGAGTCAGCAGGTCACAGTGCTCCTTACAGTCACGTGCCAGGCCTCTTCCGAGCAGCGATGCACTCGACACCCAGAGACCCTCCACGCGGCAGACGTGGGCTGCGGGGTGGGCAATCCTCCCTGAGCAGCCTGTTCTGGCGTTCGGAACATCCTCAGGCCTCACGTGTCACTTGGCAGGGGCACCCCCGGCCCTCCATTCCCCAACTCCGCCAGACTAGACAGACCCTGAGCAGTTCGTCTGAAATGGCCTCCAAGGCTCCAAGTTACCTGTCTAAAGCCCTTGGCAATCGACCCATCCCCCGACTTACACCTGATCAGTTTTCACAATATCTTTGCAAGGTATTTGTTCAAATGGCATATATGTCCCCCCCCCACAGTTCCACATTTAGTTGGGGGGGGGGCAAGTTTAATGTCTTCAGAGCTTTTGTCCGAAGCCTCTTTAATGTTTAATGCTTAGGTGAACACATGTTATTCAAGCATGTTGTTGTTCACACATGCTTATATCATGTCTCTGAGATTCTCTTCCATTACATCCCATGGAAGAAATAAAATGAAAGAGGAAACTTTAGGTTGCGTGACTTCCAATGTCTCATAGTGACAGAACCTAGACACCCCCCACCCCCCAAATCTCTTAAGTCCAGCATCTTCCTTTTACAAGAGACTTTATCATTGGTGGGACATGAAACTTCAGTTGGTACATAGCATGGCATTAAAGAACACTGAGTTCTTTGATTTCTGTAAAGAAAGTCTCGACTTGGTGCAAAGCAAGAATTTAATACCTGGAAACATATAATAAAACTAGTGAAGCCTATTTTTGATGGTCTTGCCCTCTGGTCTTGAGGCAACACTCCCTGATCCATAATCCCTATGTTTGCTCTGTGAACACCACATGCACTCTTATTCTAACACATCTGACATAACTTCAGGCAGCAAATCAGTATCTAACAATTCTGAATCACCGTTTGCTGCATCAATTCTGAATCTAGGTACATACCCATATTGGCCTTTTCTATTTTTAGCACACAGATTCTACCAAGACAGCATATACACTAATTGTATTCTTCTTGATAAACAGAGGTATTATGACACTACCTAAGGTCCCCTCACCGAACACTTCATAGCCATTCAGAAGACACCTGAAGACAGGGCAATCTGACCACCCAAGCTGCAGCTAACAGGCAACCAGGAATCTAGAGGGGAAATGGACAGTCATAATTTCTGTTCACCATACCCATCAGTCCATTCGTCTACCAAACAATGGTTAAGATGGAAGGTTCTACCAGTCTGACTACCTAGGTTTAAGGGCCACCCTCTATCCAGTATCTGTGTGATTTTAGAAAATGACCTAGATGGGGGATTCTACGAGGGCAAGGATTTTGGTATGTTTTAGACCCTGCCCCAGCACCTAGCACATAGTAGGTCCTGAATACATATTTGTTGAATAAATGAATGAAAACTTATGTAAGCCTCAGTTTCCTCATCTATGAAGTAGAGGGGAAAAGAGTGGCTACTTTATAGTCCTGTCCTGAGGATTCACTGAAATACTTCACATAAAACACTTACTACGTCGCCCAGCACACAGCGAACACTCGCCAACTGTGAGCTATTAATATGCAGTCAACAGACATGTCCTGAGCATGTCATGTGGCATGTACCATGCTAGGTCCTAAGGACATAAATGTGGAGAACCAAAACTGGTTATGCCCACACAGCTTACTGTGTACATGAACGTGACTTTTTTTTCCCACTGTCTTTAACATGACTTTACTATTCCAGGAAACTCAGGCCCAAAAAGATACAAGTTGCAAAAAACTTTGTTTCAGGAACTTCCCAAAAAACCCATTTAAATGAATAAACTATTTGATTTTCCAACAGAAAGTAAACGACTGTTTATTCTCCACAACGCCTGCCTCAAAACCCTTGCCTTGCTGTGACCACATGACTAGTCACTGGAAATCTCTAGCTGCTTCCTAAAAGTCGGCCGGCAAGCACTCTTTCCTCCTCTTCTTCCTCGTCCCTCACTCTACTTTGCTGTAGTTGAAATGTGACTGCAGCCCACGTAGACTGAGAAATAACTACGTCACATCTTTGGGTTGGGAGGGCAGGAGAGCTAGAAACAGCCTGGGTCCAGGAGGATGTCTGTGGGTAAGAGCAGGCCCAGGCCTGAGCGAGAAGAATAAGCTTTCATTTTGTATGAGCCACTGTAATTTGGGGTTTCTGTAACACTAGTTGAATTTAATCTTATACTGTTAGAACTGAATGAGATAAAACCCTTACCCTCAAAGAACTCATCATTTACTCAAACTCACACTTCAAACCTTGCCCTACATATTCATGTACTATCTTTGGTGGCAGTACATTTCAAAGGGCAGGCGAAAAAGGAGGAGAGATTATTTGTGGGTATAACTGCAGGCTTTACTATGATATTAGATATCTGTAGAATGTGCTCAAACTTGTTCTAAATACCTCATATGGATGGTGTGGACCCATTTGCCCACCTGGCTGATCTACTCCATAGATGAACCCAAAATATTATCAAGTCAAATCCAGAAACATACAAAAAGGATACTACAACATAATCAAGTGATGCTTATGTTACGGAGACAAGCTTTTCAATATCTGAAAATCAACCAAAGTAATTCACCATTTCAACAGGATAAAGGTTAGAAATGATTATCCCAATAGATACACAAAAAGCATTCAACAAATTCAACATGTGTCCACTATGAAAACTTTCAGCAACCTAGGAACAGAAGGAAACATTCTGAACCTGATAAAGGGCATCTATGAGAAATCTACAGCTAACATCATAGTTACTGGTGAAAGGAACAAGGCAAGGTTGTTGACTCTTACCACTTCTATTTCAACACTGTACTAGAGGTCCTAGGCCAGTGCAGTAAGTCAATAAAATGAAATAAAAGGCATAAAAATCAGAAATAAACAAATCTTTTTTAGCAGATGACATAAGAATAGTTTACTTAGAAAATCTTAAGGAATCTACCAAAAACTAATAAAACAAGTGAATTTAGTAAAGTTGTAAGATACATGGTCAATATACAAAAATCAACTGTATTTCTATACAGCAATGAATAATTGGAAAATAGAATAAAAGAATACTATTTACAATTGCATCAGCAACATGAAATACTTAGGGAAAAGTTCAACAAAATATATACAAGACCTGTACACTGATATTACAAAACACTTCTGTGAAAAATAATAGGAGATCTCAAAGAAAAGGAGAAATATACCATGCTCATGGATTGGAAGATTTAATACTGTTAAGATGTCAATGCTTGCCAAATTGATCAACAGATTTAACTGTAATCCAAATCAAAATTGTAAAAGGGATTTTTATAGGAATTGATAAGCTGATTCTAAGTACACAGATTGGCTAAAAGAATTTTGAAAAAGAACAAAGTTTGAAGACTTACAGTACTTGGTTTCAAGACTTACTAGAAAGCTGCAGGAATCGGGATAGTGTAGTGCTGCCATAGAGACATATAGATCAATGAAACTGGAGAGAGTGCAAATATAGATCTAAACATATTATGTGGCCAATTGATTTTTTGTTTGTTTGGTTGGTTTTTGTTTTGAGACACAGTCTTGCTTTGTTGCCCAGGGTAGAATGA